GGCCGGGAAGGCGCGCGGGTCGGGCGCTTGGGGCAAGGGCTGCAAGACGGGGTCTCGAAGAGGTCGCGTCCCCAAGGTCGAGGGGTGACAGCCAAAAACAGGGCACTGTACGCGGGGCGGAGACGTCTGTAGAGACGGCGTCTGCGAGGGACTCGGGGCGCAGACCACGGTCCAGTGACACAGTTGGTACCCTTCGGGGTCCTGCAAAGAGAGGAGGGAGCACCCCGGGGCCCGGGCTCAGAGCCAAGAGAAACCGAAACAGAGCCCAAGAGCAGGACTGGGTGCGTCTGGCCTGGAGGCTGAGGCAGAAGAGTACATTCTAGGAATGTTTCCAGGGTGAGGGACAGGGAGCCTGAGCCCTCGCTCAAAGAGCGCCTCTTCTTTACCGAAGGCCCTGGCCCACAGAGGCCCGAGTTTTCTCCCCCCAGGGATCCAGGCACGAGGTTCCGGCTGGAAGAGAGTGGGAGTGGGAGACTCTTAACCTCTGAGTTCGCACCCGCCCTAGTACAGATGAGGGACCAGGACTCCTATCCCGCCCTGGTCCCCCATGAAAACATGAGTCAGCGTTTGCAACAGACAGCAAGGGAGCTGAACTCCCGGCCTGGGACGAATCTAGACTCACCCACACTCCACTCCTTGCTTGTGCCTCCGTTTCTCCATCTGAGAAATAGAAGCCACTGCAGCAGCCACCTACAAGGCCTACAGAGCCTCTGGCCTAGGACACAGGCGTCCTCCTGGAGGTGTCTGCCAGGGACATTGCCATCCAGATCCCTCGGGCTGTTATCACCCAGTGTCTGCACCCCTCCCTGGGCCCAAGCCTGATGCCAAAAGGTGACCTCCCGGTCAACAGCGGCAGGCAAGGGCCAGGAGGAGGCTCGGCCCTCCCAGAAAAAAAAGAGGGACACAGGGCTGGTGGTGGAGTCTTTGGCCCAGGTTAATCCGGGGCAGCTCAGCCTTCCTACAGCCCCACTGGAGTTCCTGACCAGGTCCCCAGTGGCCTGATAATGGGGCCTCCCAATGGCTCTGTCCCCAGCTGGGAGGATGACCTCGACCTGTCTCTCCTAGGATGTGAGCCTGGCCACTGGCCGCCTGTTTGCTACATGGTCCAGAGGCAACAGTGTCCCCAGGTGGGGCTCACACCAGGAACACAAGGCAGAGCGAGGCCAAGCTCCACACCTGGCTGCACCTTTCTTGGCAGAGGGCAAGAACCTGCAATGATCTGTGTAGGGACAGGGATGGTCCCTGTACCCCCAACCCAGGGACATGGGTCCCTGGTGGTCACAGGCACCAGGGGCCTTGTCCCCTACCTGTTCTGGCTGTCACCCCCTCTGTCCTGGTCAGGCCCTGCCTAGGGCAGCTTTGCCCACCCGCGCTGTGTGACTTTGGACAGGTCCTGCACTCTGGGTTCCAGGGCCATGAGCCCCAGTGGGAATTCTGGGGTCCTCTGAGCCCCCCCCCCCGATTCAGGGGCTCTAGGGAGGCCAAGGTCTGGCAGGTGCCCCTAGAGACCCCACACCTGCAGCAGGGCCCTAAGGGCGGCTGAGCCCAAGGCCTGCCCACCCCCAACTTGGCGTGTGGCTGAGGAAACTGAGGCCGGGAATGCTTCAGCTCTCCTGCTTCTCTAAGTGCGGGGCAGCGGATCCTTCGGCCGGGCCTCCGCGGGCTGCTCGCCCAGCCAGGCCAAGCCAGGCCCCACACCCCAGCGCGGCGCTGGAGTGGTGCGAATGGCCACATTGCCACCTCGTGGCTACGCGCGGTACTGCAGCAGGACCGCCCCGCCGCGAAGGCCTCTGTGGGGCCACCTGCCACCTCGCGGCGAACCTAAGGGGCCTCTTAGCCTTTTCACCGCCAGCGTTGGCCACTGCAGGCGGCCGCCCGCGTCCTGGCCCACTAGATACCAGGTTCTTTGCAAAAAACAGGACTTTGTTCTCCAAAGCAAACCTGACGTTTAGCTGAGCCCTGGCTCCATGGTGTCGCCTCCCTTCCAGGAGCAGAGCTGACTCAGAGCGGCGCAGGCGGTGGCACCCGGGCTGCGGGGGAGGGGAGCCCCGGGAAAGGAAGCCATCGGCGGCACTCGCGCTGTGGCGGGGAGACTGAGGCAAGAGGGTCTCGGAGAATTTGAGGCCAGCCTAGCGTCCATAGTGAGTTCAAGGGCCCAGGGATTTAGCTCAGGGGCACAGCGCCGTAGTGAGTTCGAGGCCAGGCTGAACTGTAAAGTGAGACCCTGACTCAAAAAGGGGGTTGGGGATGTGACTCAGTGGAGAGCTTTGCCTGGCCCTGGGTTCCATCTGCAGGACCAGAGACAGACAAACAGACAGACAGACAGACAGACAGACAGACAGACAGACAGAGATAGAGACAGACAGACCGACAGAGACAGAGACAGAGAGAGACAGAGACAGAAATTGATTTAGTGAAATCAACTGAATTTGCAACAATGCACTCTAGTCTTTTTCTTAAAATTCCTTTAATTTTGAAGGGGTTTGTTGTTGTTGTTGTTGTTTTTCCTTGTTTGTTTGGTTTTGGTTTCTCAGTCTTTTTTTTTTTTTTTTTTGGCAGAATCGGGGATTGAACTCAGATCCTTGCATTTGCCAGTCAAGCGCTTATCCTACTGAGCCATCTCCCCGGCCCCCCAGTATGTCTTAAGAGCAGGTCTGGTAAGGCATGAGGATCTTGGGATCGAACCACAGTATCCTGAGCCTGACTGCAAAATTCCTTTAATTTTGAGGCAGGAACTCAGTAAGTCACTCAGATGCCCGGGCTAACTTTGAACTTGCGACTCTTCTGCCTCAGCCTCCTGAGGCCTTTCCATCTGTTTTAATCCACAGCTCTTGGGTGAGACCTGGACCCGCCCGGTACACTCTCCCACTCTGCTCCCGCCGCCTGCACGCTTCCGTTTCCCTCACCAATCACACTTATTCTCTGGCTGTTGGAAGTTGGCTGGGGGGATTGCAGGCGTTGCTGGCCTCCAAGGATGCGAGTTTATGAGCTTCCCAGGCAGGCCACCTCGCCAGTCTCTCTGATAGAAAGAGCAGGGCCTTGGGGCTCAGAAAGACAGAAGCCGCCAGCCTCTGAGGGCTGCTGGCTCAGACGCCTGTAATCCCAGATGCTCAGAAGGCTGAGGCAGGAGGATGACGAGTTTCAAGGCCAGCCTAGGGCAACTTTTGCCACCCTGTCTGAAAATACAATTAAAAGGGCTTAAAAGGTAGCTCTGCCGAGCATCTGTGAGGCCCTGGGTTCTACACCCAGTGTTGAAAACTAAAACCACCAATGTATTTAGGGCTCACGCAATCTGACCCCATAGCTGGGCAGGGCCAAGGAGCCATCTCAGCAAGAGAGGAACATCATTGGCTACAGGGAGCTCACGTATCTTCTCTGGGACCAGTCACCGCACGCAAGGGGCTGGTCTATGCCCAGTAAGGCCGTCTAGAGAAGGCCGAGCCAGGGCTGCAGGTGCAGGGAAGTCGAGGCCATGTGGCAGCTACCTACATTGGCCCGGCCCTGCTGGGGCCTGCAGCCTCCCCAGGAGGCCACAGCCAGGCCAGGCATACCATCCCCATTTATAGGGAAGGAACCAGTGGGCCCCAAGCCGCTGGAGTGGCCCCCTGGGATCTGGACCCTCCTTGTCCTCTGAAACCCCCCTGGTGGCCTGCTCAGCACCAGAGGCCCAAGCCAGGGCCTTTGCCCTGGGTGGCACCCGCGGCCCTTGGTTGGTTTCCATTCTGTTTGTGCAGTTGCCTTGTTTGGTTTTGGTCTTTCCTTACTTTACTCTATTTTTTGGTTGAATTGTTTTTTAGGGGAGGTTTATTTTTTGTTTTTGGTGCCGAGGGCTTCCAGCTTGCTAGGCAAGCATTCTCCCGCTGAGCCCAATCCCCAGCCCCGTGTTTTCCATTCTGACACACGCTAAGTGGTCCGGGCTGGGCTAGAACTTGCGATCCTCCTGCCTCCGCCTCGCAGAGTGCTGGGATCGCAGGCAGGCACTGCGCCAGTCAGGAAGCGTTCACACAGAGCTCGTGTTCACCTGGGGACAGTGTCCAAGGAGGCGACGGGGGCTGCAGCTTAAGGGGCCACGCACACCCCTGGCCTGACCCTGCACCCAGAGCCCCGCGCGGCTGGCGTCGTCCTGCCTTCCGCTTTCCCACAAGGTCGCCCGCGCCAGGACTCTGTCTCCCCGCCAACCCGCTGTCGCTGGCCGCTCTCTGGCCACTCTGGGGCTCGCGCCTGCACCCCACAAACCCCACCTCCGTGACTCCCGGCCCAGGGACAACGATGCTCGATCCATAATCATGACAGGATGATTGGAAAATTCCCCAGATCCGCCGGTGCTGGCTTTTATTTCTTCCAGAGGGGGAGGGAAGAAAGCGGTGAACAGGAATAATTCATAGAAAAATGAAAATCCTAAGCTAGAGAGAGAGAGACGTGCATTTGCATAACGACAAACATCTGACTAACATCATTCCACCTCCAAAGGGAGGCGTTCGCCATGCAGATGCAGACAGGGCCCCGGCAGCAGGAGCCAGGGACCCTCCAGGAGTCCACACACACACTCGGGGTGCTGATGGGCCCAGCCCCATTCCCAGCATCC